GACACTGAGCTTAACATCCTTCTTCAAGAATTCTAAACTAAAATGGAGTGGCGTAAGGTTTTAGTGTTTGCAGGATTTCTCTTTTTTTCTTTGGCAAAAGACAATGAGACATTTCTCCATCCTAGACTTGCGCATTTGTTTTGTTTTTATTTACCCATAATTCCATTCGCTATAGTATAGAATAGCATATTCCTGCTTTTGTCTGTGTGTTCACAAATGCATTCAAATGTCACCAGAGTTCACGTCAGATGAACCCAGACTGAGGTTTGTAGGCGGATCAGAGTTTGATTCCACATTCACACATCCCCAAACCAACTGCAACTTCGAGCCAAACGGACTGGAGTTTGACTGAGGCGGACTAAACATGGCTGCTGTGAATGCAGCCCTAATATCTTTATTGGTTATTGGATTGATTAAACCCAGAAAGCCTATCCGGTTACTCAGAAAACATCCTAATTAAAATTCCATTGATTTATTGAAAAAGTTGCATATCTACATCTGCTGCTGTGACAATCAAACAACTTAATTGCTCCTTAAGGATTTTTCCAAAATACTATTCTTCCAGCAGAATAGTGCTGAAAGTTTTATCACCTCAAACTAGTTTGGAAAATTTGTTTTATCATTTTCAAAAGTATTCACTGAGGGGGTTGAATACCTTTCATAGGCACTTTAATGAGTTTGTATTTCTGAAGGTTCTTCTTCAGTCTAAGTCCTGGCTGGATTTTTCTTTCACAAACAGATCTTAAATGTATCCCTTTTAGAAACCATGAAAAATCTGCTTAACGACAATCCAAGGTTTTCTCCTCCACTTTCCTGGGACAGAGTGAGGTCACCTGATTTCATTGTGTGATTCCAAAAAGTGGCCCCAAAGTTGGAAAGAGTGGAGCTGTTATAAAAAAAAAACATTCCTCAACTGAAACACAATGAGCCACCTGTGGATACCATGGAAACGGTTTTATTTTATTCTGTTTATTTAGTGTTTGTGCAGACAGCGTTCCTAATTCTTGCATTTTATACATGTATGTATATGCATAGATATTAGGTCCAGAGCTGAAGTGTCTCAGAATAGTTTTCTGCTGAATGTGGTGCAGGTTTGTAGGCCAGCTCACTCACACACCTGTTCACCGTGGCTTAAACAAAAATGCTTCTATGTATGTAATCACAGTGTCTGTTACAGTTGTGTACAAACAGAAACATTTCTCCTTTAAAACCAGCAGCATTTATTTGTAGAATAACTCAGCCAAGAGTTCTTTATAAAAAAATATACTGAAAAATATTTGATTTAAAAAAAAAATGTTTACAAAAATTTCATCAAATTTTAACAGGGGAGAGTAAATAAGTACAGATTAATTGACTGATCTGCTCTGGTGCTCAGCACAGTGGCTTTTATTCACCTCTCAGGTTGTGTGTGTGCGTGTGTGTGTGGGCGGTAGTGCTCTGCAGTTTCACTCTCTGCTTTGCCCAAATTCAACTTAGCGTGACGGAATGTGTGTTTAAAGCATAGTAAGTGTGTTTCCAGTGAAATGAATAACCCAACCGTTCCAGATCGGGTGACACAGGAACGCCCGCCGCCGGCCTGGTGGGAGGAAGCCATTTGGCCTGGACACAGGCGGACGCTGTTGTTTTGACCACATGATTCCTGGATTGTGGGAACCCCAAACCCTCCCCCGGCCCAGTCTGCTTTCACAGTTCCACTCTGCAGAAGTTCTGCTGGGTCAACGGAACTTACCGTGGTGCTGGCTGCAGTTGTTTTGTCTGCATCTTGGTTTCACTCTGCTTCTGTTGTCGCTTGTAAGAGGAAAACAGCTCGTCATGATGAAGTGGATTGTAACTGTCAATACGCTACTTCATAGGTCTGATTTGTCTGATTAGGGTTCTGTGATTTTTGTTTTATTCGTATCTCTACCCCTATACCTATCTCTACCCCTTTACCCATGAAGCAGGACAGTCAGACTCATTTTCATTTTTAAAGATCACAGGTGTTGTCAAAGATGTGACAGGGTGTATTGATAGAATCCACGAACAAACTGCTAACATAGTAATGAATATATGTCTCTGCATTTGATGAGCACTTCTTAAAACTGAATAACATTGATGTCATTTGGGAATATGCAGATAAAAACTGCTTTGCTTTGATTGATAAAATCATTTTTAATTAAGCACACAAATGTTTTTTTTTTAAGTTCCTTCTCATGTGTCTACGGTCTAGACCAGGGGTCCCCAAACTTTTTCCTGCGAGGGCCACATAGCTGTTCCTTTCTGTGGTCGGGGGCCGGTCTTAGTTTTTGCAGTAAAAAAAAACAAAGAAATTCTTGTCGACGGGGGGTGTGGGGGAGAGACGACGACACTTTTGGATAGATTTTTACCCAGAATGCAAATGGAAAAAACCGTGAGTGAAACGGTGACTGACGAGTATATATTCCATTGAGGGAAAGTAAGTTTCACATTTGCTCAAAAGCCCCCTGGTGGTTGAAGAAAAATCCACATATAAACCGGAAAATACAATATATGAAAAAAAACACTGGTATGAGCAGGCGGGCCGGATCCGGCATTGTTCAGGGGGCCGGACCAAATGACGTGGCGGGCCGGATCCGGCCCGCGGGCCGTAGTTTGGGGACCCCTGGTCTAGACTCTAGTCTGTGGACATGGCCACATGAAAAACTACAACAGGCCAGATTTGGTCCCTGGGCCTTGAGTTTGACATGTGCTGTAGAGGAAAGATGTCATATTGCAGGAAGTTTGTAGAAAAATAAGCCTCTCACTGTCAGCAATTTAATCAGTTCAACGCATGATCAATGAAAATCAGCTCAATCATTTCCATTGGCATGATTAAGATTGTAAAGTACTTTAGATTGTCCATACAAAATAAGAATGTCCTTCATTTAAAGTGGAGCTTACTTTGTCTTATATACCATAAGCTCATATCTAATACACATACGTGCATTTCCACATTTATACATACACAAATATGTAAATACATCTATTAAAATAAATTATTTTTATAGTATATTTTCAGTTACTGTGAGCAGTACTTTATGTTTAAGTGATTGACAAGTTTTTGCAACCTGGTTTTTCCCAGCTAGCTTACATTAGATTAATTCTGTCCCAATCTATTTCCACACACACTTTTAATTCTCTCACTTCTTGGCCAGCCCAGATGACACGCTTGCTCTGTCCGCTGTGCTGTATCTCCCAGATGAAGCTAAACAATGAGGCGGAGCTTTTAGGACGATCGGCTCCAGTGATGAGCTGATTCCTGCTGTAACTGTGTGAATGCCTCCAGACAGTCATGTGGAGTCGGTGACTCTGTAGGTCTGAGCCGTCTGTAGAATCAGCCATGTGCCTGGAGGTCTGTGAAAACTATGTGAGTCATTTGGTGGGTTAATTCTGTTCACACCTCCATTCCATAACATGCCCTGCAGTCACTTCTTTTGATACATGAAAGGAGTTGTCACTTCCCACCTCCTACTGAAGGTTAGTTAAAGGTCAAATGGTGTTTTGAAAGTTAATTTGCAACAACTGTGATGATTCACACTGAGGCTGTATTATAACTCAGAACTGGCTTACCATCATTCATGCGGTTGTGACCTGTTTCTGCATTAATGCGTCCCTAAGGTTCAGAGGTGGGCGAACCAGAACCTTCTGTCAGAATATTCATCTTTTAACAGCAATAAGGCGCATAGCTGACTCTGCACATAAATTACTCAGCTGAAGCAACGCCAAGCTGAATGTAAGCATCACATGTACTGGAGAAAAAAATAACCTAAAGTCCTCCAGCTAGCTGGAGCGTGGAATCAGTCCAGACTGCGTCACATCTTGATGACAGGGGAGTTTAACAACAGCTGCATTCAGGTACAGCTCCGACCCTCGTTTGTCAAAATTAAAAAAAACAAAAAACAAATCTTTAATAAAATGTTCAAATATTAGCACTGATCATTTTCAAGTGGTTATGTTGTTTTACATGCTTTAGCTGTGCCTGCTTATGCTGCTTTATCCATGGAAAAATATCCAACCAGATGTCCTGTCAGTTCTATGTTTTAAGTTCTAGAACATCTTAAAATAAAATTAAATCCAGAAATTTAAAAATAATCCTTTTTTTTACTGCTGGCTAACGTATAAAAAAAAAAAATCATATATCATTATCAATTTTTCTTGAATGAAAATACACCCAAAACAGACAGAACTTATCTTAAAATATACGTTAGTGTTACCAAGGAAACACCGGATATAGATGTAATTTTTAAAGGGAGAGAAATGAATTAAATGTGTGTATGTCCAAAAATAAAATCACACATAAATATGCCTAAACCATATGGCAGAACAGCGTAGGTTTTAGTTCTTCCTCTAGAGAGCAACAGAAGAACCTTTCTGGAAGAGCTGAGGAGCAGTGGCAGCTGTAATGGACATAACGTTTTCTTTTTGGAAGATCAGAATTCTGAGCAATACAATAATCACACTCTAGATGTGTTCCACAGACGATGCAATGCATTTCTGGGAACATTTTAAAAAAACGTACATTTAGATTGAGCTGCATGCGAGAGCCCCAGAAAAAAAAACTATAAAACATTGGAAGCTGCAAAATCCTTAAGACTGGAGCATGATGAGCTTTATGATACTAATGTTGGTCTGAAGGTGGAAAATTTAAAGGTAAAGGTCAAGGCAATTTTATTTGTATAGCACATTTTCAGCAACAAGGCAATACAAAGTGCTTTAGGGAGTATAAATACTGTCACAGCTTTCTGCTGTAGCTTCTTCAAATTATTACCAATATTTGCTAGATCCAATAATTTGACTTTATCCATACTTTCACAGATCCTTCTACGATAAGCTCTTTATTTTCTTTAATTCAACCCACAAGTGTATGTCTGAAAGGATGATTTGGAGATTCTGCAGTGTTTGTTCTAATCACAGACATCCGGAGAACTGGTCATAAACAGGAAACTAACCTGTTGAATGTGTGTGTGCGTGTGTGTGTGTGCGTGCGTGTGTTTGGTGTGCAGGTATACCAGGCTTGTCCATGTACCCCATCAGTCAGCTGTGTAAGTTCTGTGACAGACAGAGTTCCTCCTGCAATGGCACAGGGAGCTGCATGTCCGACTGCGACATTACGTCCGTCTGTTATTCGCATCAAGATGTCTGTGTCGCTATATGGTAGGTACAAAGACTCAGAAACTATTATTAAAAAAATACACGTGTTGCCCTAATTCAGTTCAAAACAAGAGGCTCATATCACCACCTTCCTTAATTAATGTTCAAAATCATTTTTATGTCAAAAGATGACTTAGGAAAAAAAAAATTGGTAAAAAAAATTACCTTTATTTTAGAGAGGTGACAATATATAGATCCATTGTGCATTGAGTGATTGTCTATGTTCTTTGAAATAATTCTGTCTTGATATGGGACTGAAATAGTGAGCACCCAGGCCCTTACACAGGGTGGATGAGGCACTAAAGCTTGGTTTATGCTTCACACATGTACTTTCCTCATGGAAACTCGACGGAATCAGGCTAATCAGGCTGGGTGGCGGAGAAAATTCAGTCTGCACGGACACTGCACAGTAAGGCGCTTTTGCTAAAATTACATAAGACCATGTGGAATGGCTGCGTTAAACATAAATCAGGCTTTAGGAGTTGTCAGTTGTGACAGAGGATTTGTCTGCTTTTGATAATGTAGATTTTGTGCCAATAAGCAAAATTTCAGTTCTATCATTGTTTAAATTAAGGAAGTTTGAGGTGTATCGGGATTAGGACTGGTGGGAGGAGTTAGGTTTACTACAGAAGCAGAGCAAGGTGTCACCTTTGAAGCAGTAGAAGAGGAGATTAAAGATGGAGACATTATTAACAAGGTGGGAAGATATATGTGATGAAAAGAAGAGGCTCCAGGACAGAGCTCTGAGGTACACCACGGAAACTTGACGGAATCAGGGATAAGATGACAGTGGAAAACTGGAGTTAAAGGACTTGAGTGGGATGAACTGAGTGTGTCCAAATCAGGCTCAGGTTAGTAGTAATACCAATGGATAATCATCTATTAAGGAGGATGGTGTGAGAGTAGCTTACTGCTGTATTCAAATGATCAATCTTTATTTAATTAAGCATTTTCTTAGCAAAAACTCAGCAAAATTAATATTTTATTGTACTGTCAATAAGGGACAATAAGGGGTTAAAATATTGTAACCCCATTATTTTAATGATAAAATAATTTTTTATCGTTAGTTATCCTGAAGATAAAGTTGGACCATAATTTATGAAGATACGGTAACCCTTTTTGGATTTCTTTTTTTTTTTTTTTTTAAGAAAGGCACACAAAACAAAAGATTATTGTACTTAAACTCAATAAACTTGTCTTCTCTTCAGCCACCACCTTTGTGTAAGAATGCAGAGTTTTTACAAAGACAGTCAGTCAACTTTGCTCTTGGCCTCTCGTGGAAACTCTTCCAGTCTGAATCCTTTTTTTTTTTTTTTTTTTCCAAAAACGACGTTGAGACCAGATTTTAAGCAAGGGAAGATATAAACTGATCAAAGCCTCTCAACTCATCTAGACTTTAAAACAATATATATATATATATATATATATATATATATATAAACTTTCCCTTCAAACTGTAAAAAAAGATTCCTATGTAATCGGTTTGTCTGACTTTCAGGGTAGAGAATGGGACCGGCTTCACCGTGGAGACCCTTTGCCACAACCCGTCCGTGTCGCTGTACGGCATCATGCTGGACGACTACAACAGCTCCAGGTGTGTGATGAAGGAGAAGAACTCCACCAGGGGGATGGTGCACATCTGCTCCTGCTCAGAAGAAGAGTGTAATGACAAACTGGTGTTCGTTTCCAGTAAGTGTTCTGGTTCTAATGAAGTCATGCAGTACGTGGGTTGATGAATCCAATGATTTCTGCTTTGGAGTTCTAAATTTAATCATGTTTTGACTCATGTCAACATAAAAGCTATTCAAAGTTAAGTCTGTACAAATCAACATCACGACCTTTCCAGATACATTCAGCTGATGAGCAAGGATTTTACTCTTCACCCCAGCTGAACATGTTGTACATTGAAATGAAAAATGTTTTAGATGATGAAATGGTATCTAGATTACCTCTATCAGTCAGAACAACAAACAAAATTAGAATGAATTTGTTAAGTTCACTTATGCAGTAACTCAACATTTTCAGTTATAAAGCAGTGTCCCATTTCAGGTGGGAATACAACATGAACCAAATGTTGCTGATGACTGCTGCAGGCTCACATAAAGACCACTGCCAGCCAGGACACTGAAGAAGAATTCTATATTGGCAGTAATGCAGAAGAATGTGAGGATTTATAGAGAAATCTGACAGGAAGAAATGACAACGTGGAGCTAGCTGTTAGCTCCCAGCAGGGTGCAGTCATACTCTCCATCCAGATCTGCTGACCTGCTGATGTTCATAAGTTTCCATCAGCGTCATGAGAACGTAAAAAATATGGTTTGATTCAAGATGGGAGGCTGGACAACAAACAAGGGTATCTACTGGCTTCGTAGTTAATTATTAGTATTCTCCCTTTTTTTGACTCAGTTCTTGCTAGTACACTTCCTCTGTGGTGTGCTCTCGTAAAAATGTTTTTTTGTTTGTGCTTTTATTTGCTCAATTCAAGAAAGCATATTGAGAAACAACCCAGAAGACTCAAACCACTCATTAGTAGGAAAATACGAAACCCAAAAAGGAATTTACCAAAAAAAAAAAAAAGTCCAGAGAGTGGCCACAAAACTCTGGAACATAGCTTTATGAATTGATTAAGCAACAAAAAACCTTTTTGGTTGAGATCAAACGTTTGGAGAAAGGAAGGCTCTGCTCCTGACTCCAAATGTACAAGCTGATCTGTGAAATGCAGTGGACATCGTTTCATCAGGTGGGCTTGCATGGCTCCTTTGTGATGGGCTTAGATCAACAGAGACACTTTACCAACTGGACATGAAGTATTAATCATTTTAATCAGTCTACTCACAAATGTAGTCTTCTATCCATGCTAGCGCTGTGATAGATGTGAAAACATGGAACTAAAAGCCTGAATGTTGATCTTTCAGATCATATTCATCATCATTTCTACCAATTCCAAACTAGGACTGCTTATAATAGAAAAACAACAACATGAAATCACTGAGTTTGAAGAAGGGAATAGTGTTTTGGCAGATTTAGAAACCTAAATAAGTTACAAATTCAATTGATTCTAATTTGTAAATTAAGTGATAAAACTAATGGATGTTGAGAGACCTAGAAGATACTGGGTCAGACTGCTAACTGGGCATAAATGCCATTTTGCTTGGTAATCCGGCGCTCTTTTGGGCCGATCCATTTTTTCCTATAATGTAAACCGGCCGGCTCATAAACATTTCTTATTCCTTCATTTTATGACTTTAGGCCTGCCCAGACTCATCTCTTCCCCCTCCACTCTATTACACCCCTTCCTCCACTCCCCATCCCGTCTCCAGTACTGATGCTGAGTAAAATCTGTTGCTTTGTCAGGACAGACGTGCCTGAGGGATAATTTGCTGTGTCTCCTCTCCTCATTCTGCCACCTTCACTGGCACTAACTTCTAAAAACCCTCCACAAAGCATGCAGGTCCAACCTTTCAATGGAGCTACTGTCTGGACACATGCTTGTAAAATGGGAAATGCCAACATAACATAGATAATTCTGTTACTGTATTTTTTTTTCTGTTGCCAAAACTCAAAACTGAAAGATAAATCAATTACGCTGCTCTGTGTCAAAGCCAAATGCTTGCAATTTCTAGCAACAATGAAGAAATCTACTTTATCCTCTTGTCCCGGTGCTTTGGTGCATGCTGCTTGAAAACCATAAGAGCTTCCAGGAACTTTGTCTGCTTGGATCATTTTGGGTTTGCAAAAAGTAAAACATTCCTTTGTTGTATTTGTTTAATAGTAAAAAACTAAAGACTTTCATCACATTCAATGTGAAGGTGCTTAACTCAGGTCGTGCGTCTTCACTTTATCAGCGCATTGTCTCATCATTACTCATCATACCGCCTCTCTGTGTTTGGAAAGTTTAAGGGGAACGATGGTAAAGAAGATGTGGGCCTTTTTCACAGCTTCTGCTCTGGTGGCTGCTGCAGTGTGAGAGCTTTGTTAACACCAACAGGAACTGGAAACACAACGCTCGCATCACGCTTAAACATCACTCGCAGATTCCCCAGTGAGGTTGTGAACATGCAGCTGTGTGCCTCGTGCAGAGTGGAGAGGAAAAAAGACGTGTCTCAGTGGCTAAATAAAATATGTGTGTGCGCGTGTGCGTGCGCTGGGCACACTGGAGAGCACAGACATACGGTTTCCTGTCTGTGTCGAACTCGGTTCAGAAGCATCTCCAGCACATGATGAGCGGACCCCATAAACACAGGAGACCTCATCTGGAGAATGACAGAGAGGTGCAGAACGTCTGCTGAGCAGGACGTGTCTCACCCTTTATTCTGTTATTAAAACAGAATAAAGTCTTATTCTTCCTATCCAAATCACCATCCTCCTGTTTTGAAGGGTAACAGCTTACAATTAGATCGTGGTGTACCTCTGGGCGGTGATGAATGAGTGTGTTTCTCTTCATAGTTTGACTCATGAACCATGCTACAAAAATGTAGATGTTCTGTTGATAATTGATTCTAGGTTTGGTGCAGACAACTTAATGAAGTGAATGTGCAATAGTGGTTACAAAATGTGTTTTATTTAAACTTTTATTGCCTTTGTTGCTCATACAAAAAATACAATTTTAAATAACTACAACAAAATCTATTAAAATAAATGTATTAATTCAATTACTTTTAAAAGTATAAAACTTAAACCTAATTCATATTCATTCAAAACTCTTCAGAGTTATTGAAGATGGTGAAAGATCTGCTGTAGCAGTCTGTGTCTGTATCACAGTATGACTAAAGACAATTTTTAAAATAAAACTGTCTCATGAAGAGGATGGTAAGCAGTAATATAGAGCCTTACAAAGCGCTTCCTACCACTTCATCCTTTTTTTAAACACTTTTTCACGTTACAAAGACAAACCTCCATGAATTATATTGATATTTTCACTTATAGGCTAAGATAAAACAAAAACTGGACCAGAACCAAGTTTCACAGTGGGGATGGTGTGTTCAGGGTTATGTGCGGTGTTGGTCTTCAGCGCCACATAGCATTTTCTACTTAGACTAAAACATGGGAAGCCTTCCTTCAAGTGTGGGTGGTGATGCCAGAAGTTCCTGCTGAATTTTGGACTCAGAGGGAGCAATGTGGCTTTTGTCCTGGCTTTGGAACACGGGACCAGATCTTTACCTGTGTGCAATCTCTGAGGTGGTCATTGGAGCTTCTCTGATCTACATGTGTTTCCAAAGTCTTCTGAACATGTTTCTCAAGGTATTTTTGGGGAGTGAAATGCTCCAGTAGTATGGCATATCTGGATGAGTACTTAATACAGTGTCTAAAATAAGAGTTGTGTCTGTGTTCTCAGTGTCAAGTAAAGCTTGTTCCATGTGTGGGGTGGTCTCCAAGGTTACCCCTTGTCTCTGATTCTCTGTGTGGTTTTCATCGACTGGTTCTCAAGGTATAGTTGTATAGAGGATGTTTTCTGGTTTGACAACTTGAGGGTCTCATCTTTGCTTTCTGTGGATGGTGTGGTCCTGTTGGCATCTCATAGTGAGTGTTAGTATGTGTTAGAGTGGTCTTCAGCAGAGGGAGAAATAAGATTAGCTTTTCTAATCGTGACTTTCCAATTGGAAAACGGTTTAATGCTTCCTCAGGGTCATGAGTCCTTGTTCTACACCTTGCTTCGTCCAGAGGGTCTGGACCCTCGGTCATTGAGGAACGATTGTTTGCTGGAGGTGCAGATTTTGTTGAAAAATGAAAATGTTGGATCTGATTTTACCAATTGTTAACGTTTAACCATGATGCATGTAACGCGCCAGCTTGATAAAGCTATCTGTAAATAGCTAATCTGCAAACAATCCTGTGCAGAACAGGGCCACACCATCTTTGCTAGCGATAAAATGTCCTGCATTTTCATCTTGCTCCAACTTTAACTGCTCAATATTTGGAAGTATGGCCTCTTTCTTTGCTGCCTTTGCCAAACATTAGGTAGATTACCATATTAAATAACACAGAAGACATTGTCGTTCACAACTTCGCCTTCTTTTCGCTGATTGGCCAACCAGATAAATCAAGCTCAATGGTAGAAGTCCCAGGTGGAGCCCTGCAGAGAGAAGAGAAATGAGTGGAATTGCATATGAAGGCAGTGACTCTAAGCCATGAAGATGTAAAAGGTCAAAGAGTGGAGCCAGGAGATGCTGAGCCACATATGGTGTGCAGGTCACTAACTTCCTGCAGCAATAGCCTTGAGATCAGCTAAAGATAAGTGTGTACAGAGATTCATAGAATGAGTTTACATTGCTAAACAGATCCCTTATTGCCTTGTATCACCAAACGCAGAGCTCTGGATGTCGTGGTGTAAACACGCAGTCATTATCCCCTAAAGCTTTGGAAACATGTTTTATAGTGATGAATCATGCCTGTCTGTCTGGCAGTTTAATAGTACAGACTGGGTTTGTCAGCCACCAGAATGTGTCTGACTTCATTTTATTCACCGTCAAGTGTAAAGTTTGTATTAGGGCCCCTTAAATTCCACCGAAAGAAACTCTTACTGCATCAGAACACAAAAACGTGTTGGTTAATTTCATGATCCCAACTTTGTGGGGCATTAACCCAAAGCAAAGTCTATAAGGACATGGATGAGAGAGATTGGTGTGAACAATGGACTTCCATGATGTATATGGACCCAGGGTTTGGCAGGATGCTAGGCCAGAATTTTCCACAAAGTAAATATGCAAATATATAAGATTTACAAATGGAACAAATAAGTAAGGTAAAAGGCTAAGTTTGCCTTAGCCAGCTAGAAACTAGCAATCAGGGCTGAAATCTGCATGTGCTGATGACCTGAACACACAGAGCCACATAAAGCCAGTTCCAAAGTCGCCCTTCTGTCACCTGAAGAACATTTCCAGGATCAAAGGACTAATGTGGCCATATTTACTGCTGTGCTACTGTAAAAAAACAGGTTTTAAATTCTTGGAGGTAAATAATGAGAAAAAGAAGTTGAATCTTGAAGTTGAGCAGATTTAGCATATATTTCTTTTTGAGGTTTGTAAATGTTACCTGATGTGTTTGTCACTTGGCTCATAAAGAAGACAGATTTCCTTGTGACACCAAGTGGGAATGTTTCATCCCCACGAGGCATTTCTATCTTAATACCACAGAGGAACGACAATAGATAAGAACCGGGAATAAATAGTTACTTGGTTTGGTTCCGCCCAAAAAAAGGAAGAAGAAGTGGTTTCGTAAATATTCCTAGATGGACTTGTTTTTTTTATTCCCAGATTAGTTCCCTAAGTCTGGAACTAATCTTGAGTTCTTTCAGTTTCACAGCAGATGGCTTTAATAGAAAAATTGAAATCCAACAAGTCATCGTCTAGACGCATCCAAACAGCATTCTGGGGCCAAAATGCTACAATGAGATGATCTGCAGCGTTATGTCACACCATACCACATTTTTTTATAAAGCTCTTTAAAACCACTAAGAAAACTGACGTGCTACAATGGCAAATGGTTAATTATTAGAGAACAAATTAAATAAACACATAAAAACACAGACAGTCAAAATCTCTCAGTCTGTTTAAGGTCTTGGAATAAAAGTGTGTGTTTTTTTTATATGAGGAGTGCTTATGAAACAGCGGGTTGTGAAGACAGTCCTGTTACCATAGCAAGTAAATACACAGCATGCTCCCTGTTGGACTGTGCTGCTAACCTCCGTGTGGCTGTAGCATGTTGGCAGGCCGGGTAAGGCCAGATTACTTCTATACTTTCATCAGGTCTTTAAAATAGTAAACATGTTTTTTTGTTTTGTGTGGGGTATGTATGCTCAAAGAAACCACAGTAATAATTCGACTTGAATTTTCAGAAAAAGTACAAGAGCCTGCAAGACTATTTCAAAACTTTTTCATTATTCTGACTTGAGATGATCCGTCTGCATGAAGTTCACCAGAACAAGACAAGATGAGACAAGAAGAGCTGTGGAACGGTTTTGACTGTTCCACGGTGGGGAAACTCAGGTGTAAGAGCAGCATCAAGATATATAGGTTCACACAGAAGATCAAAAACTGTTACAAAAGTAAAAAACAAAGAACAGATTAATATCGGTTTTTAAATCCCCCTAATGTCTATATGTATTTTAAATAATTTTATATGTTAGTACTTTGTGTGTGTTGCTATCGTCGTAAAACCAACTTGCCACATTTACAATTGCATCCATCCTGACTTTGATTAAACTTCAGTGGTGGCAATTTTTTCAAAATGATCTGACTAATCAACTTAAGATAATCAAAAGCTTTAGAGACTTTTTGAAGTATATACTAACCAACCACCTATTACCTGTAATCAGGTCTGGTGCTGCTATTTTTCGACAAAAATGGTTCCTCTTTGGTCTGTAACTTTATAAAACTCTTTTAAACTGTGAGTAGTTACTGCTTTGAGTTTCCGTATTGAGAGAGAGAGAGGACTAGCTCAAAGTTTCCCAGACACATATCTTTGGCCAAATTACATCTCAAACCAATTAGAGGAAAGCATGAGAACACTCTGGCATCCTGACTGGAAAAGGCCATGCAAGCCTTACTACCAGTTTGACATTCCAGTACGTTTCTGGCTGTGTTTACACCTCAAACACATTCTACTCTCACAGAACAGATTACACACTTACAGGCACAGCGAGAGAATGAACCTAACCCCCACCAAAACCGTCAAGGAGTCATAAAAGCCTTAAAAACATACAAACTACAGAAACAGAGAATTTGAGTGGAAGTGTCTATGTGTTTGGAAGCCTTTTTTTTTTTTTTTTTGCAACTCACATACTATTACATTATAATTACTTTTACTATTGGAATTCAAAGGTTTTCCAAAATGAGAAGGAAAGAAACTTTAGCCAGTGCTAAAGCGTTACATTTTGGAACGTTACTAAAACAGAGAGAGAGAAAGACCACTGCATTTGACAAGCTCTTTGTTCTTATCTAAAGGAAAAGTGAAAGTAATGCTGCCTTCTCCAACAGTTTAAAGTGTAATTTAGTTACCTTAAGACTGTTTTGACAGGCATGAAGGTGCAATAGTTCAAACCAGGAACACCAGTTGGTTCTCACGCTACAACAAAGAGCAAAACAAGTGAAGACCTGACAAGTACACCTTGTGCTTAATGTTGGTTTTTCACCATTCTGGTTGAATCAGCAGTCTCTTTGTGTGGTCTGTGTGTTTGTGTGTTCATACACTGCTTTCCAGAAGAAAGCAGAATAAACAGCCCATTAGGCAGGTGGGGTCTCCAGTGATGTATCTCTCTTTCCTTCGGAATTGTAAAAAATTGTAATCTGGTATTAAAATCATAATCTGATGATAAAATCTTCTGCCATCGAACTCATGGCTTCACACCAGCTGGTTTATCTGTCGGTATAAACCATGATTTGTCCTAAATGATTGTAATAATTATTGAGTAGTGAATAAAAACGTTCTAAAAGTTGATGTTTCTTTACATATTTTTTGTCTGTGGGTTTGCAAAGGGGCTCCCAGGTCAGAGGTCAATGCTCTTGCCAGGGCATGGAAAAGTTTGGGATCCCCCGTCATCAAACATTCATCTGTGTTGACTGAGACCCTTTTTGATTCTAAGCTTGTCATTTCTCTAACTGTTCTCTTCCCCTGTGTTTTTCTTCAGCAGCAAAAGATCAAGCCCTCGTCTATATAATTCTGGTGAGCCTGCTTCCCCTCATTGTGATGGGAGTCTTGGTTGCCGTGGTGATCCACTGGCACTGTGTCAATCGGCGCCGCCAGCTTGGTAGGAAGTGGGACAGCAACGTTAAAATGTGTAAGCCAAAAGCCGGCGGGCTGGACTGCAGAGACACCTGCGCCTTCATGGGGGATGACGACGGCTCTGACAGCAGCTCCATGCACGCCAACAACCTGAATCACAACACCGAACCCCTGCCTATAGAGCTGGATCTGCTGGTGAGTGTCAGCTGAAGAGCTGAAGCTTTTTGGAGGCGGTGTGCCATCTCACTGAGGCCCTTTTTTTTCTTTTATCTTCCTCCAGGTGGGTAAGGGCCGCTTTGCTCAGGTGTACAAGGCGAAGCTGAAGCAGACCAGCTCGGCTCAGTTTGAAACCGTGGCTGTGAAGATCTTCCCCTATGAGGAGTACGCATCCTGGAAGAACGAGAAGGACATCTTTTTCAACAAGGACCTCAGACACGAGAACATCCTCCACTTCCTGACAGCTGAGGAGAGGAAGGCAGAGAAACAGTACTGGCTCATCACAGCTTTCCATCCCAGTGGGAATCTCCAGGTGAGTCCACTACTGCTTGGCTTCTCTTTATGAAACCTGCCACATTAATAACTTCTAAATGCAATGGAGCTCAAACGTTGCTCTGCTTCACAGGAGTATCTGACGCACCACGTGATCAGCTGGGAGGAACTGCAGGCGTTGAGCAGCTCTCTGGCCCGAGGAGTCGCCCACCTTCACAGCGACCGGCTCGCAAATGGACGGCCCAAGGTGGGACTTGGGCCGTCCACGAATCATTTCATAATCACCAAACAGGGACCATGAAATAATGACCCAAGTCATTTTTTGCCAAAAGATGATTTATACAAAAACAAAAAAATTACTTTTGGCAAAAAAATGACTTTGGCAATTATTTTAAGAAGATGACAGCATAAAATCCAGTCAGTGCCTGACAGCTACTTTGAAACACATTTTGAAAAAGAATTAATGACATCTGATATGTTAAACTAAAACAAACCTGATGAGCAGAATGAGTTAAAGCTTTGATGGCAACGCTAACTAAGATTGTCAATGTTTCTAACATTAAAGGACATGGTATTCAGTAGCGCTCTTGGATTGTTGTAACCATGTGCATACAGGCAAAGTAAGACCAAACGTCAATTAAGTCCACGCACCAAAAGATACTCTGTAAAGATACAGTCTGCTCATTAAGGAGCACAAAAGTCCACATACCAGAGGCTGTATGTGCTGTTGGCTGCTTAAAAGTATCTTTAACTCTTGGAAACAAGAGCAGGGCAACAGGAAGTTGCAAGCAACAACCTGGTTTGCATAGTTCTTAAGAAATCCACACTTTGGTAGAATATTGGGGTAAAAATGCTTTAGATTTGTTAGAACTGCTTGAAGACTGGGGCCGGTGAATACTGTGAAAGCCAGGCACTGTGTGTCAGATCTCTTTCTGATTATAGCAGCATTCATCCCCTTGTTTTGTGATGATATATATGTAGAGGTAAATATAAGACTTTTGTCCAATGTGTCTCTCATCTCCTGCCCTAAAGCTTTTTGTTGTGTTGCAGACCACACCACCATTATTCTGCAGGGGAATCTAGAGTGAACTTTTAGGGTTTTTCCAATGATTTGCACACAAAAGACATCTAACTAAAAAAGTTTTCCATTTAAGAGACTGTTTCTGGGTAGATTTTAGACTATCCACTCACTGTCTACTTTATTACCCGCACCTTACTAGGGTGGGTTGAATTGATTTTTGCCCTCAGAACTACCTCAGTTTCTCATGGCAGATTCAACAAGGTGTGGAAAACATTCCTTTAGATATTTTGATTCATGTTGACATAAAATCCCACAGTTGCTGCAGATTTGCTGGCTGCACATCCACAAAGTCTAAAGGTGTTCTGCTGGATTAAGATCTGGTTATTATGGAAACCATTTGAGCCCAGTGAACTCATTGTCAACCTAAGTTCAGTTTGCCTATTATACTTTTACCATTTGCTTTGTGGTTATTTGCTGTTGTGTTGTGGATGGTTGTTTTGAAATCGGTTGAGTTTTGACCTCAGCTGCTGTTGGACCAACAGGTGCCCATAGTTCACAGAGACCTGAAGAGCTCCAATGTGCTGGTGAAGAACGACCTGACCTGCTGCATATGTGACTTTGGCCTGGCGCTCTGTCTGGACAGCAGCCTGTCAGTGGATGATCTCGCCAACAGTGGCCAGGTCAGTCTCTCACTTACACAGTTACACTTGTGCACAACACTTCTGATAAATGATGATATGACCAAGCAATGCAATACAAAACACATGCATTATGAGAAAAATTACATTAATTAAAATTAAGAACCTAATTTAATGTTTAATAAGGCTCAATTGTCCCAGAGCTACATTGATTACATGTCTTTGCTCCTCATTTTTGTTTTTTTATATGTCAAGTCAAGTTTACTTGCATAGCACATTTCAGCAATAAGGCAATTCAAAGTGATTTCCATCCAGGCCTGTCAAGACAACAAATTTTACTAGACAATAAATTGTCCCAGAAGTTATCGCGATAAACAATAATATTGCTGCTTTGGGACAAAGGCATAATAATGCCTTTACCATTATTATACGGTAAAGGCATCTTTGAGAATAAAAAATAATTCATCTTTTTTTATTCTCAAAGATTAATAAACTTTAAATTGTAATGAACTGGAAGACATTTTAAATATCAAAAAAAAAAAATCAGACAAAAACAAATAAAATTAATTATTTGTCTTTGTAAACAAAATTGTCCTTCAAAGAAAAGGCAGGTTGAAACCAAAGCACCGAGCTGGAGACTTTTGTCATCCAGTTTTTGGCAGAAAGAGAAAAACGATAAATCATGCAAATGAAAATTATTGAACTCATTTTAATTTATCATGGAATTAATTGATTTATTGTTTTCTGTGACAGGCCTATTTCCTTCATACAAACACAATACAATAACCAACTATAAAACAAGCAGTAAACAGTACAGTTTGTCAAATGCCATCAACAAAATCATTAAGCAAATCTGTTTCAAATATATTGATTACCATCTACTGTGTGATATTTGAGTGCAGATGTGAGTGAACAGTTTTTGATGTGTGACTTGTAGGTGGGTACGGCGCGCTACATGGCCCCAGAGGTCCTGGAGGCCCGGCTCAATCTGGAGAACATCGAGTCCTTCAAGCAGACCGACATTTACTCCATGGCTCTGGTCCTGTGGGAAATGACATCAAGATGCGAAACCATAGGAGGTGAGTGTGCATGTGGAAAAACTTAATGCTGCTTGAAGAAGCAACGCAAGTCAGTTGAATCAATGGTCTGCCTACAATCCCATGTCTCGATTTGATTAAAGTGAACTCTGGTGTAGTTAGAATACATATGTGAATGTCAAGCGCACCAGAGACTGCTCCAAAGGCAGGAAGCTCAGTATAGCACAGGGCATTCTGGGTAAATCCAACCAAAAGAAAAGCACAAGCTTAACACTAGCAAGAGAAATGTCTCATGGTCTTTTACCAAAGACGAAGGAGAAATATTACAAACTCTAAAATCTGACACCACTCCATTTTTATTTACATTTGGTGAAGAAAGGCATTGTGCTCACATCTTCTTCAGAGGTTTTTTGTTGTTTCCTTAAGTATTTATTGGTAGATTACCACCACAGGCGAGGAGGGGAACATGTTTTTCCATTAGGATCATTTGAGAGAAAGTGAACAGCAGCAGCTGAATATGTTAACAAATGTTGCAATTTTGGCCTCAATCGAACCAAATCTCAGACTTTCAGGTGTGAAAACACCCATATATTTAAAGGCATTTTCATTCCACCAAGTTTTTGGTCAGAAATTATACACAGGCATCTCGTAAAAGATAACTAAGCAAAGTACAAGTGTATCATTTTGGGAAAAATGCTCCCGGAGAGAACTTGTGCATGCATGAGGAGAACATGCAAACTCCATTAAGGTCGACTGGCTGAGAAATAAACACTTCCTGCTCTTTCTATTATTAAAGCATTGTTTCTCTGTCTGTCGTGAGGTGAAAATGATCAGACAGTGATCTGCACTTTCTTCCACATTGCCTTCCAGTCTGTCTTTTTGTACTTTAACACGGTGTGTATTCCTCACTCCCTTTTGCTCCACCCCTACATAATGACAGAAGAAAATCCTGGAACTCTTTCCTCTCCTGTAATACTGGGACAAGTAAACTACTCTAATGAACTGCTGTTTTGGAAAATACTGACTACTTGTGTTTACTGTGGTTGTTTCTACAACCATTGAGGATATATACACTAATCTTTTGTCAAACTTTTATAGATTTATGCGCTGAACTGGCTATTTTTGCTTTATTTGTGGTTTGTTTTGTTTTGAGAAGGTGTGGGAGAAGTTATGTATGTATGTGTTCTGAAACAACAAAATTTTAATAACATAAACAGAAAAGAATAAGAACTTAGCAACACCATGGCCAAATGTAGGCTAAGGCAAACTAAAGCTTCTCCAGTCAGAGAGAACATTGCAGACACGGTGCAGATAGAAGACCGCTCCACTGTTTCCAGTTATTCAGGGGACAAGGGGACTCTGGTGGACTTTCTGTCAGTCTGTACCTTAACCTCAGCTCCAAGTTAGCAGCAACAATGTGAGGAATGACTGATATGAGAGGAAGACAATCTAGACTCTGTTGTTGACCTTCCTTGGAGTGAAAATCATGAAGGGAGAGCTGCAGCTGCTACTGCACTAGTTTCACCTGGCTGCACAAGTCTGTGACCAGAGCGTCTGTATGAGGCTGAGAAAATAGATTATGTTTTTTTTATACATATTGAAGGGTGTGCACATTTCCTTATTTGGTTGTAACACAAAGTTTGTTTACAGTGCTATCGATTATACTACAGTTCCTGACACAGTTCTGCACATTTTAGTACACAGGCCTAGAGAATAGTTTACAGACACATGTCACTGAAATATATTAAAAAAGAGATCAGAAGGACATTTTTGAAGCTGACTTGACATGACTTACTTCATATCAATTTTATAAGAGAGACACTTCCTGAACTTATTGATAGAAGGATCAAAAGCTGCACTGTGCAACCTTGATATATATAAAAATGTTTTTACATACTTTTTAAAATTATTATTGAGAGATTATTATTATTGAGAGATCTTGTCACGTTGTCTACTGCCATGACATGAACAAATATGGAAAAAACATAATTGCGCAGAATATGGAGACTTAATGGCAATTCTTAGGACGTTGGCATTACATTCTTCTGACTATCATTATCAGTAGTTTTAACTTATTTTAAACTGAAGAACAGAGAACTCATTTGATGGTGAGATGATCTGGTTTTTATGTGATGTCATGTTCAGATTTTCCTAGCAGAAATATTTTTGCCTCGCTCTGATTTTCAAAAAATATCCTCAGTTAAGTCAAATGCAGATACAGTTACATACACGAAGGTTTGATTGTCTTCCCTCTGCTGTGTACAAGCTAGATGGTTGTTTTCTTGTTTTCTGTGTGTTTCTGTCTTCGTGTTCTTTTTAGATACATTAGAATATACAGATTCATAAGTAATAGACAGTCACCCTCAACTTGCCCTACTTCCATATCTTCAACAAGTGTTCAAGTCAATTTGTGGGTTTCTGCATAGCAAACACAGGGCACAGAATAGTAGACTGTATTAAAACCCTCCTCTGGCATTGCTGTTGTTGTCTGTTATATTATATGCCTCAAGTATCTCCAAACATTTGATTTACATGCCCAAAATTAGTTTGCAGGGTGCAGCAGAGCCCGGATGGTGAATCTGAGCTGAGGCATGTGGGTTAAATGAAGCATGATGAAGAGCTCTGACTGTGCCAAGGATGAGTCTTTTAGTTTAAGGAAGTGGAATTCTGCCATATTCTGCCATATTCTGCTGCCTACAATATGGATTTCATGTCCTGTCCAGCAGGAGGAGGAGTGTCTTAACTCTGTCACTCATCTCATGTACACACTGCTAAATGTGCTAAAGGCCAAGAAACAATTTACTGTCACTGGAAATCTGTTGATCCATTGTCATCAGTGGCTATTCTAACTAGCCTGAGCAGTCACAGCAGCCTCTGCTGGCTACAGCATAGCAGGGAGCAAGCGCGGCACCTCATGGAGGGTGATAGACAGCGCTAAGACCCGCCTCCTGACTCTGATTGGTTGTTTCTAGTTGGCACTGGGAGAAGACAGATGAGCTCCATTTTTTCCCAGATTATCTGTCTCATAACAAACTATGATCACATAGGTTTCAACAAATATGTAAAAAAAAAAAAAAAAAAAGTTATGTCACATACTGCATCTTTAAAGCTGTTTTAGTGATTTTGATTAATCTTTTTTTTTTTTTTTAAAGCGAGCGTGTTTCCCCAGAAACAATCACAAATTCCCAGGAGTTTATTTATGAGCAACAGCTTTTATGCGCTGATTTTGGAATGCAGTGTTATAATCCTGTTTTATAATCCCAGAGCACAGCTCACCTTTCCACTCACTGCACCTGCATTTTACACGTTTGTGTTCAACGTAGGGCGACTCTGTCAGTTATTAAATGTAGTCGCTGTGACACAATCACCGGTCACAGTTTTATTGCTGAAAATCAAAGCTTTTCTTTTCGTCTCAGGAATCTCTTTGTGTTGAGAACAGGTGGAAGATTGAAGTCTTGGTGATGGAACCGATGTGGAAGGAGAGGGAGAGGTCGAAAAGGTTTCTCCTTTGTGCTGCACGATGAATGCTGTGCAGAAGACTGTGTGGTGTTCCTACCTGCTGCACAGTGGGAAACACGAGCACACCACCAGCTCTGGCGTAGATAACCTCCAGGGAAAGAATCCGGGCCAGCCCGTATGGGTCCAGCTTTTACACACTGAAAGTGAGGGAAGATCCACATTTTAAAAGTATGAAGCAGAGGCTTGCAGAGACAACGTTTCTGCATGGAGCTCTGATCCACTTCCTGAATGAAGGTGCAGATCAAATTTCAACCTTCCTGCAGCTGGGAGAGACCCAGATAATGGTGTGAAGGAAAGCTGCTGCCAGATTTCACATTCACAGATCCAGTTTTAGATTGTAATCAGTAGTAAATCTACATGAAGATAGAGGCTGGAAAAGCTTCTATGGGATCATTGTGAATCTTCAGCATCTTTTCCCAGCTGTGAGCTTTATGGAACATTCTGTTTGGAGCTGAGAACAGCCTGCAACTGCTGCGCTTTCAGTCCACTGAGGTCTGGATTCAGGCCTGGAAATTCATGCTTCATACTTTCAAATTAAAAGTTTATTTATTTATTTATTTATTTATTTATTTATTTATTTATTTATTTATTTGTGTATTTATTTATTTATTCATTTATTTTTACCATAACCAAATCTTCAACAAAAACAGAAAATAATAATAATAATAATAATAATAATAATAATAATAATAATAATAATAATAATAATTGTAACATGAGAAGCTGTGGTTTGATGATTTGATGAATTACTTTTCAGCAGGAGTGAATTTGTAGTTTTGAAGGAAGTGCCATAGTGAGGCGTTTCCCCTCATAAGGCAGGATGAACCGCGTGTGTCCACAGTCAGCATTATTGTAGCCAGGCTGGAAACGACCACCAGGCCTTTTCACTCTTACTCATCATAGAAACTCCAATGTTAATCTTTTTTTCTTCATCAGCCCGTGTGTTTCCAGTTATTGTTCAAGTATGCATTCAATAAATAACAATGCAGAAGTGCTGCAGATTGAAGGATGATTCTTTTTTTTTTTCCTGCTTCCTGCTCAGAACAACACCTCTCCCCTGGTTTGATCCCTTGTTTGCGTTTTTGTTTTGTTTTTTGTTTCCCAGACGTGAAGGACTATGAGCCAGCGTTCGGATCCAAGGTGCGACAGCACCCCTATGTGGAGAACATGAAGGACAGTGACAGACCCGACATCCCCGACAGCTGGCTCCGGCATCAGGTCAGATTTAGAGATTTAAATCAAAAGTTAAACCCACAACAGCCGATTGAAAATACCTTTAAAATAAACAATGCAAGAGCACAAAGCAAAATCTAATGTAAATAAATGTGGATGAACACTGAGGTAAATGCTGCATGTTTCAGAATTGAATGTGTGTCTTTGTAAACAGCACCGAGAAAAATGTTTTTTTCTTTGCATGTCTTCTGATTTTATTTTTATTTATTTATTTATTTATTTATTTATTTATTTATTTATTTATTTATTTATTTATTTATTTATTTATTTATTTATTTATTTATTCATTTGTTCCTTACTTGTTTTAGACCATCAATACATTTTTAGGTAAGGTTAAAAATAATCTGAGTAAATACAAAAAGTTATTTTTAAATGATGATTTAATTCATTAAGACAGTGTGGCGTTCAGTCAGTCATCATGTCAAGAGCTTTGACAGAAATTCAACTGCAGTACTCCCTGTCTTACCCTAAGAGGGCAGCACTAAGAATTAAACAAATTTACATGAAAAGTAGAACAGAACACAGTTTGAACAGAAACATAAAGATATCATCCCTAATGACAGGTTCAGGCAGTTTTCTGCAGTAAGAAAAGGTTGATTTAGGGCCGTGACGTCTAAACTCTTTGCAACATGAGCCCGAATCCCAAAGTACTCAGGAGCCATGTTGATTTTCCAACTTAAAATGCAAAGTGGCATGTCTAACTTTCTAGACACTGGAGGACCAAATTTGTACCATTCTTGAACTGCACTCGGTGGCCGCACAAAATCCTTCTGAAGGCCACAAATTGTCCCCGGGCCACACTTTGCACACCCCTGATTTAGAGTTCAGTTATGCTAAAAGATCTGGCAATGAGTTGCTCAGAAGCTGCACACTTCTCTGGTTTAATGGCCATTTGTTCTGTAATGAAACAGGGAATGGAGAAAGGAAGAGGTTCTCAGATCTGTGCTCTACGTCTCCCTCTGCAGGGCATTTTGGCTGTCTGCACCACGATCAAGGAATGCTGGGACCACGACCCGGAGGCCCGTCTCACGGCCCACTGCGTGGCCACGCGCCTTGCTGAGATCGAGGAGGAGCTGGACAAGCTGTCGAGTCGCAGCTCCTCGGCTGAGAAGATCCGATATGAGGTGCACATCCCCGTCGCCATGGAGATCCCAGAGGAGGAAGTGAAGATCTCCGAAATCCAGAACATCATAGCTGCGGACTGCTCTGTGAGTGACAAGTGAGGCGGGGATCTGCAGGCTCCTTCAGGGGCCTTCCAGTTAGTCCAGGTTAACACGATGATGACGGTGGTGGTGATGAAGAGCTGAGCTCTGGTGGGACAGCTGGAGTCTGAGACACCGTGTTGTGTTCAGCTTTGACTCAGCCCTGGTGAACATTATGGCTTTCATGGCTTCTAGAATGTTACAACATGTTGAAAAGGTGCAGATCCAAAAAATAAAATAAAATAAAATAAAATAAAATAAAAATAATAAATAACAGAAATGCCAATTTCTCAGGAGAATGCAGAGCCTGACAGGATTTTCTCTGCATGACAAACAGGCCAGTTTGAATTGAACCAAACAGGTTTTACATGCATTTCGTCATGATCTTCTTCTGCGTTACAGATAACAGTCATTTCCAATCGTTTATGTATATATTTTTTTCATTAATGTGCCGTAAAGTACATTTTCAGTGTGTACTTTGAATACCAAAGAAGTGACCTTACCATTGTTCAGTGTCCGTACCAGCAGGTTGATCAGTAGAACAGGTATATATTTGTGTCTTTCTGTTTGAATGTTTTGTAGTGTTTGTACTTACTTACATGTTGGGCTTTTTTTCTAGACAATAAAAAGCCCACTGTGCATAGGAGACAGTAAATCTGCATAAATAGCAGCAAAAAGGGAAAATCATTTTATTTTTTTTTATTTTTTTTGCAACTTTTCAGGATGCATGTTTTAAAATAGTGTATGTTTTCATAAACATGCATTGTCAAATATTTTTTACCCTGTACGTCACATGCAAGATAGTATAAATCATGTATGAATTAAATATATTTACATATACGTCTCAGTTTCTGTGTTTTTCCTTTATTCATCATTATCATTATTTTAGCTTGCATTAAAAAACCTGTTGACTGGCCTTTTTCTCATCAGGTAGCAGTGTGAGAATGACCTATGTCATGCAAAATCCGCTCTTCAATTTCAATTGCATATTGATGATTCCCTTGTGGATAAATGGTTTCTAAACAACAAAAACCTGAACGCAGAAGTCGGAACATTGAAAATCTATGACCAGTTCAGTGATGTGGCCCTGGATGAAGCAGGGAGCTTATTTAACTCTTTCTAGGTAAAAGTGAACTCAAACAGTTAAAAGCTTGTTTCCTATTAGATGAGATCCATTTTAAAAACTGAAAAAACATGGTTTCTTAATCCCCGACGTGAAAAGGGTGCCTGAAGTTGTAAAATATTTGAGCAAAAGTCACTGAGAAATGACTGATTTGTCTTTTTTTGTCTTTGTCTTTGAAAGAAAAAATCTGGTCCTCCAGAAATGCTTAAAGTACGAACATCCAGCCTGGATGGTGACCAGGAAGAAGATGAAGCCAGGCACAGTGTACAAAGCCTGAGTAGAGCAAGGAGCTCTGGACCAGTTTGATGAAAGTCACGCCATGATAAATGATCCAAACCGGTCATAAACAGATAAATGAAGCTTTCAATTTTAAACCATTGCAGTTATCAGCTCAAACCACAACAATGAGCCCTGTTTGGTGGAATAAGACTGCTTTGGCATCAGCTGAACGGTTTGGCTTTTACTAAACATGCAGTAAAAAATTGAAAGCTCTGTGTTCCCTTTTATATGTTATACTATGAAAACACTGTGTGCTCGTAAAAAAAGAGAAGAATTTGCATTCAAAGTATTAGATAAATAATAAAAGACATACATTTCAACAAAGGTCCATGTGATCACAGCTTGCTGAGAAAAGACTTGTGCATTGTTTGCTAAATCCTTCTTTAAGACTTGAATTAGAAACCCGGTCCTTCAGAACCGGGTGAAGAACGAACATCCAGCCTGATGAACAGAGCAGGTTCAGGGGACCAAACCCTGGGAAAACACACAACTCCAGTGCCGTCAGTGTTCAGAGTGTTAGCCTGAACTAGCTATGCTAGTTGCTTGAACTTTTATGAAGCTAGCAACCTTTAAGCAAACTGTAAAAACAAGGAAATACAAAAGATTCCCAAACATAAAGTGAAGCAGGTGAAAATGTTTTTTTTAACTAGCTTGGGTGTTAAAATACCTCAGATGTGTCAGAGTAAAGAGAAATGTTATCAATATGAGAAACTACAAGAGCAACTAATTCCTGTCTGTGCAACAGCCAAACAGGTGACATGCCTTCCCCACAGCCAGAGATGTTCAACTCATTTCTTTAAGTCAGACTCAAGTCTTTTGAAACAAATCAGAGCCAAGTCTCAAGTAATGAAATAAATGTTTTTTCATCAAATTCATGATGTCCAGCCTGCATTGTTATGGGCTATAGGCTATACGCTATAAGCTATAAGTTATTGGGCTTACCCCAACTTGTACAGTGTCTCTGGTTCATACAAGGCTTGACCTCATGGAGGCTGTTCTTCCATGGACAATAGACTGTTGTTTTGATAGTCAAAAAGGAGTCAAATATGTTTACAGATCTATCCCTGTTTTCTTAAATAAAATGTAATTTAATGCCATGATGTCATTTTTAATTTTGTCTACACAAATTTTTGGAAATATGGTAATGTAATCATTTTGAATGACATATTATAGATTGTCTTCCAACAACATTGTGTGTTTAACACCAGTGAAGAAACCTTTGAAGGTATGTTATGATGAACCTATCAGACAAAAAAAATTATATGAATTAACGTTGATTCAATATAAAATCAACACAAATGTGCATGTAGATCCAAATTCAGATGATGGTTGAATCAACATTGATATAATGTCAGTTACGGTTGATTCAACATGTAGTTACTAACCACTTCCAATGTCCAGCTTTAACGTGGATCCAGTGTTTCTATGTGACTATATTGCAACGTTGATTCACTCATATTTCGCTATCTGGGATAACTTTAGAGTTTTAAAAAATATATGCTTATTTTATTGTACTTTACTCCTCCGTAGATAAATAACTAAATATCCACAGATTCCTCGTTGATCTACATGGTTTTTTCTTCATGGTTTTAAATTTCCACAATGAAATGTTTTATCTTTCTTTTCTTATTCTTAATCATTTTATCACTGATATAATTATCTGTTTTGTTAGTTTTTTTTAATGTGGTCGTTTTAAATGTGTGTCTTTAATTTGTGTCTTGTGTTTAATTTCTGTAAATAATACTTGACTCTATGAATATATTTTCCTGACTCCATGACTAACTGAACTCATACAGAGGGTACTACAGCTACATCCTCTCCTTTCATGATGCTAACATCTATTAAAGGTCAAATTGACCATTTGCTTCTGCATATTTGTAAAAAGAGAAAGGCATATTACACAGGATGGATTAATAAGTTATATTTTATGTTTAAGTGTCAAAAACCGCCATAGGACCTTTTCCTGGTATCTTATCTGAAGAAAAACTTGGACTAGAGCCAGATTGTTCCAAGAAAACACAATATAAGTTGTCATGATAAAACTGCTTTAATGAAAAACACATTAAGACAAGAGTTTCAAAGTCATCCCAGCTAATATGTGAGCTCAAAAGAATTGTAGATAACCTGGTTTTACTTATGTCCATGAACTCTCAAAACCATTGATTCTGATTTGTTTGCAGCCCTTGGGTTCCTCGAGTTACGCTTGAAGAGTTGCCGACACTTCATATCTTATCTTATCTCTCAGTGAAAGAGAGAGAACTCTACAAAACCTAACAGGTACCAAAGCAGCAGGAGAGAATTTCAGATGAGTGTGTGTCTTCAGCAGTAATCGGTTTGTGTTAGCAGCCAGACTTTATTGCAGGTTGCAAACGACTCAAGACGGCCCATGTCATGTTCAAGGACTTTCTTGCTCCTTAATGATTTTATATTCACAAATGTCTGATAAAGGTGAGAGGTTCCAAAAAAAAATTTAACTCTTTGATTCTGATCAAAGGTCAGTCTAAGTGAATAGGAGGCTTTAGCAGGAGAAGGCTTAATACATATATATATATATATGTACAGCTCTGGAATAAATGAAGAGCCCACTGCACTGAGCCCCATTGAAAACTTCCTGGTTATTCCACCAAATACTGATTTCTGAGTTAGAACATTAGTATTGTTGTTTCTAAATCAATGGTTCCAAAAGATTTTTTTCTGGGCCTCCCTATGGGTTACAGTAATAAAAAGGAAAAAAATCTACTGGGCACACATATCGTTCAACCAGACATAAACCTAGACACATATTTTGTTTTCAAACTCCACTGAAGTTTATTTCACACTTCAGGTTGCAACAAAACAAACTACAAACCATATTTACAGTGAAACACTTTTGTGTAACTGTGTTTTTTAGTTCTGTATTGTAGAAGAGTATTCTTCGCTGTCAGTGTTATTTCAAACATATTTTTTTATTTTATTTGTAACAATATTCAACTTTGCTATCATCATTACATTTTTTAAAAAAAAGCCTATGTGCAAAATGGGGTTAAAACATGGAACAACTCCCTGAGAGTTTTTTTTTTTTATTTCATCATCATTCATCATATGTATTTTCATCATGCCCCCCCTGCACTGCACCTCCACTTAGGGGTCTCGCCCCATATTTGGGAACCACTGTTCTAAATGAATATGAACTTGTTTTCTTTGCATTATTTGAGTTCTGAAAGCACTGGATCTTTTTCATTAATTAAACATTTCTCATTTTCTGCAAATGGAGAGATTTTATTTCTCATCAGAAATTGCTTGGAGAAATTCCAAACAATTTCTCCAAAATTGCTGAGAATTTCAGAGAGATGTTGTCGGTAGTTCATGGAATAAAAAAACAATGTTCATTTTACTCAAACATACACCTATGAAAAGTAAAGTCAGAGGAACTGATAATCTTGAGTGGTCTCTTAATTTTTTTCCAGAGCTACATATGCTGAGGGGTGCTGAAGAACTGAAGAGAACCCATGGAGATCGGGTCACAGCAGAGAGGCAGCAGAATAAACGGAACAGATTCCTGTGGGATGTTGTCATATTTTGCAGTGTGTGAAAAGATCACATGTGAAGCAGCTGACTGCCTTAAAGTTCATTTCTCCAATTTTCTTTATGTTTCACAGCATTAGCTGCATTTCCATTACCTATAAAATTGAGCAAATTGAAATTATGAAAATAAATTAATTTCATGGAAAAATACCAACTTAAAAAAAACATTCTATGATAAAAAAGTTTTTGTGCTAGGAAGAGGAGGTTTTCAGCCATGTTGAAATAGATGTTTTATATAAAACTGCAAAGGTAAAACTTTTTTTGCACCGTAATCCAAAGCCGGATGTTACTACTGGT